TAATTTGCACCTCTCTGGTCTGGAGGTCTGGAAGTGGCCTGGTAATTCTTCCCTGGGGTATTTGGGAGTTGTGTTGAGCCCCATGATGGGGTGTTCGTTCTCTGCCCTCTGTGCTTCTCCCCCATGGACTATTTTCCCTGAATTCTGGGGATCATCAGCCCGTCCTGTTCAGCCCCAGCAGGTGAATGCTGCATTCCTGCTGGGGTTCCACTCTTTGCAGGCTGAACTAAGCTTCTTACCTGCCAGCTGCCTCCCTGCCTTAAAGCTATTTAAATCCATCACAGGGGTGCACATTCACTTTCTGGGGGAGCAGAGGAACCACAGTCTGGGTCGGGATGTATTTAGTCCTTGTGGAAATAAAGCACCTCCAAGTGACTGCGAGGACCAAGCGGGGACTCACCATCCTCTGGTAGCTCAGGGATTGTCCAGGGGCAGTGAGGGGGTTGTAGGATGAGCTGAGGGGATTCTCCAGGTGCAGTGAGGGGTTGCTTTGGCAGTTTGTAGGATGAGCAGAGCTTGGGATTGTCCAGGTGCAGGTGGAGTTGCTTTAGCAGTTTGTAGGATGAGCTCAGGATTCTCCTGGTGCAGTGAGGGGTTTGTAGGATGAGCTCAGGGATTGTCCTGGTGCAGTGAGGGGTTTGTAGGATGAGCTTAGGATTCTCCTGGTGCAGTGAGGGGTTTGTAGGATGAATTTAGGATTGTCCTGGTGCAGTGAGGGGTTTGTAGGATGAGCTTAGGATTCTCCTGGTGCAGTGAGGGGTTTGTAGGATGAGCTTAGGATTCTCCTGGTGCAGTGAGGGGTTTGTAGGATGAGCTCAGGGATTGTCCAGGAGCAGTGAAGGGTTTGTAGGATGAGCTTGGGGCTGTCCAGGGGCAGTGAGGGGTTTGTAGGATGAGCTGAGGGGATTGTCCAGGGACAGTGAGGGGGTTGTAGGATAAGCTGAGGGGATTCTCCTGGTGCAGTGAGGGGTTTGTAGGATGAGCTCAGGGATCGTCCAGGGGCAGTGAGGGGTTTGTAGGATGAGCTTAGGATTCTCCTGGTGCAGTGAGGGGTTTGTAGGATGAGCTTGGGGTTGTCCAGGGGCAGTGAAGGGTTTGTAAGATGAGCCTGGGGTTGTCCAGGGGCAGTGAGGGGTTTGTAGGATGAGCTCAGGATTCTTCAGGTGCAGTGAGGGATTTGTAGGATGAGCTCAGGATTTTCCAGGGGCAGGGAGGGGGTTGTAGGGTGAGCTTAGGATTCTCCTGATGCAGTGAGGGGTTTGTAGGATGAGCTCAGGATTTTCGAGGGGCAGTGAGGGGTTTGTAGGATGAGCTGAGGGGATTCTCCTGGTGCAG